TCTGTTGGGAGCCCCCTCATGGGCTGGCTGACTGCAAATTCTTGCTGTGCCCTCACGTGGCAGAAAGAAAGCAAGTAGCTCTCTGGCCCCTTCTGATAAAGGCACTAATTCCATTCCTGAGAGCTCCACGCTCATGACCTACCTGCCAGAGGCTCCACCTCCTAATATCATCACACGGAGGGGCTAGGACTTTAACATATGAGCTTTGGGGGGAAATCAGATATTCAGTCCATAACGCTTAATATGCCACTCCATGTATTTAGGTCTTTGCTGATTTAAGCAACTCCTTTTTGTATTTTTGTATTTTTCAGTATGTAGAGCTTGCATATTTTTGGTTAGATATATACCAAAGTATTTTATTTGTGCTATTGTAAATGATACTTTTGAAAATTTAGTTTTTCAATCGTTCATTGCTAGTTACAGAGAAATACAATTGATATTTGTATTTTGACCTGGCATCTAACAGTCTTGCTAAACTTGAGAGATCTAAGTACTTTTTTGACATTTTATATAATCATGTCATCTGCAAATAAAGATAGTTTTATTTCTTCCTTTCACGTGTATCCCTTTTATTTCTCTCTCTTGCCTTTGAGCACTGGCTATGACACCTTTTACAGTTTCTGGTTCCTTCCGGATACTTTCAAACTTTTAAAAAATTGTCTTCGAACATACTGTGCACAACTGTTTAATAGCACATACTTGATAGTTCTGATACTTGATGCCTTTGAGTGTCTGCTTCTCTTGTTTCTGCTGTATATGAGTTTGCTAGGGCTGCTGGAACAGTACCACGAACCAAGCAGCTTCAATGGCAGAGTTGCTCTGGAGTCTCAGTTCTGGAGGCTAGAAGTCTGAGGTCAAGGTGTTTTTGGCAGTTTACTTCCTTCGAGTCACTGTGACAGGGAAATCTGTTCCATCTCCTCTGACTTCTGGTGGTTTGCTGGGAACTGGTGGCATTCCTTGGTGTGTAGAAGCCATCACCCTGATCTGACTTCGTCTTCACACGGTGTTCTCCCTGTGTGTGTCTGTGTCCATATTTTCCCTTTTTATAAGGGCATCAGTCATAGTAGATTAGGGGTCTACCATCCTCCAGTATGACCTTCTCTTAACTAATTACATCTTCAATGACCCAATAATGGCATTTTTTGAGACACTAGGGGTTAGGACTTCAAACTATGACTTCTGGGGAGACATAATTGAACCCATAATGTGTCAGTTCTCATTCATGGTGCCCTACTGCTTTATATGCTTGATCATCACTGACTGTATGTTTGTCATGGCGCTGAAAACATTTTCTTTAATAATTTGAAGTCTAGATAGAAGGCACCTTTCTTCAGAGAAGATGCTTGATTCTATAAGGTACCTATGGTCATATCCAGCCCAAGAATACTATTAGCCAAGTTCAAGGGCTGAGATTCTCTAAATTACCCAAGTGATGAAAACTCAAGCTATAAATCTATAAAGGGTTGACTTACCCCTGGTTCACACTTACTCAGATTTTATTGCTCCTTGGGCTCCCAACTTATTTTCAGGAGGGTCGTCTCATAGACAGCCCACCTGGAATGGACCTGTACTTTGATATCTGACCCATTGCCTCATCTACCACTCCATGAAGATGTGAAAATGAAATTTCAAAACTTCCAAGATTGGTAAATGATCTGAGAGCAAAAGTGGCTTCTATGATCATTTATCTCTCTGGATTACCATTTCTTTTTCAATTCTGACCTTCTTATTTCTTACTTTTAAAAAGATTTTTCTTATCTAGAATTTTTAAATCATTTTGTTTTTCTTCATCAAGATAAGTGTACTTTTTCATCCCCATCCCCTATTCCGCCCCCCCCCCCAGCCACCTCCCCTCTGGTACCCATCAGTTTATTTTCTATAGTTAAGAGTCTGCTTCTTGGTCTGTTTCCCTCTCTCTCTTGCCCTCCCCTTGCTTGTTTGTTTTGTTTAAGAAATGAGTGAGATCATATGGTATTTGACTTTCTCTGACTGATTTATTTTGCTTAGCATTATACTTTCTAGCTCTATCCATGTTGTTGCAAATGGCAAAATTTCTTTCCTTTTTATGACTAATCTTCCAGTGTGTGTGTGTGTGCGCGCGCACGCACGCATGCACGCGTGTGTGCATTTATGTATGCCACATCTTTTTTTAAAATCTATTTATTTATTTATTTATTTTTAATTTTAGTTTTTATAAACATATATTTTTTCCCCAAGGGTACAGGTCTGTGAATCGCCAGGTTTACACACTTCACAGCACTCACCATAGCACATACCCTCCCCAATGTCCATAACCCCACCCCCCTCCCAACCCCCCTCCCCCCAGCAACCCTCAGTTTGTTTTGTGAGATTAAGAGTCACTTATGGTTTATCTCCCTCCCAATCCCATCTTGCTTCATTTACTCTTCTCCTACCCCCTTAACCCCCATGTTGCATCTCCTCTCCCTCATATCAGGGAGATCATATGATAGTTGTCTTTCTCCGATTGACTTATTTCGCTAAGCATGATACCCTCTAGTTCCATCCACTTCGTCGCAAATGGCAAGATTTCATTTCTTTTGATGGCTGCATAGTATTCCATTGTGTATATATACCACATCTTCTTTATCCATTCGTCTGTTGATGGGCATCTAGGTTCTTTCCATAGTTTGGCTATTGTAGACATTGCTGCTATAAACATTCGGGTGCACGTGCCCCTTCGGATCACTACGTTTGTATCTTCAGGGTAAATACCCAGCAGTGCAGTTGCTGGGTCATAGGGTCGTTCTATTTTCAACATTTTGAGGAACCTCCATGCTGTTTTCCAGAGTGGTTGCACCAGCTTGCATTCCCACCAACAGTGTAGGAGGGTTCCCTTTTCTCCACATCCTCACCAGCATCTGTCATTTCCGGACTTGTTAATTTCAGCCATTCTGACCGGTGTACACCACATCTTCTTTATCCATTCATCAACTGATGGACACTTGGGCTGTTTCCAAAGTTTGGCTATTGGAAATAATGCCACAATAAACACAGAGGTGCATGTACCCCTTTGAGTTAATGTTTTTGTATTTGGGGATAAATACCAGTAGTATGATTCCTGGATCACAGGGTAGTTCTATTTTCAATTTTTTGAGGAACCTCTATACTGTTTTCCACAGTGGCTATACTAGTTTGCATTCCTACCAATAGTGCACAAGGGCTCCTTTTTCTCTAAATCCTCACCAACACTTGTTGTTTCTTATGGTTTTGATTTTAGCCATTCTGACAGGTATGAGGTGATATTTCATTATAGTTTTGATCTTCATTTTCCTGATGGTAAGTTATGTTTAGCATCTTTTGATGTATCTGTTGGCCATCTAGATGTCTTCTTTGAACAGAAGTTCAAAATCAGATATCATGTCTTCTGCCCATTTTTAACTGGATTATTTGTTTTTTGGGGGTAATGAGTTGTATTAGTTCTTTATATATTTTAGATACTAACCCCTTACTGGATATATCATTTACAAATATCTTCTCCCATTCAGTAGGTTGTCTTTTAGTTTTGTTGATCATTTCCTTTGCTATGCAAAAGCTTTTTATTTTGATGAAGTCTCAACAGTTTATTTTTGCTTTTATTTTCCTTGCGCATGTATCTAGAAAAATGTTGCTATGGCCAATGTCAAAGAGATTACTGCCTGTGCTCTGTTTTAGGATTTTTATGGTTTCAGGTCTTATATTTTCTTCATTTCGAGTTTATTTTTGTATATGGTAAAAGAAAGTGGTCCAGTTTCATTCTTTTGTATGTGGCTGTCCACTTTTCCCAATACCATTTGTTGACGCTTCTCTAGAATTTTAAATTTTAGTGAAGGGGTTGATGTAAATAATTTAGTTCACTTATTTGGAAAAAAGAATACTTAGTTTCTCTTTTTCTTTTTAAAAACTGATTCCTCGTGGTAACCTCTATAAATATCCAAAACTAGTGATTATGGAGGCTGTTTCATACTAAGGAAATACTTCTTCAAAGAATATTTTCTTGTTTAATTAATAATTCAAAATCCTAGAATACGAGAAGTTGTGAATTCCATTTTCTCTTACATTTAATTTTTAAAACCTCACCTTGTATTTAGGCCTATTTGGTGTCTATCAATATGTGACAGAGGAAAAGTAGTTCTAATACGGGATAATAAGGAAAATCTGTCTATAATATATGAAATAGAATCTTTAATGAAATTTTAATATCTGAAGCTAAAGGTTAGCATGTAGGATTTAGTACTAATGGAAGTTGTTCCTCCTGGACTATATCAAAGAAAATCATTACTAGCATTTTAACCTTAAACAAGAAAGTGATGGAGACCTTTGTTACTGAAATAAGGGGAGTATAAATGGCTAATCTAGGAAAAAGGTATGTTGTCCAGGGATCGGTGTTTTTTAATGCCAATTTTACAACTCTATCAAGACACAAATAACAATCGACAGATAACAGTGAACCAATCACATAACTGGGTAACTCTTAGAACATGTAATGGGATGATGAGTCATGGGCCTGGAATTTAGCTCAGTAAGGAGTATAATAAAGGTCTCTAAAGGAGAATAAAAGCCATAAAAGAGAGAGATCAAGGGCTCTTTCTTGATAATATTATTTCTTCTGCATGATCAGGCCATCTCATACTTTTTCCAACCACCAGTAGATCCTCTGGATGTTCTTAGGTGATGAATGATTCCATTGCTTTCAAGTCAACCAAACGAAGGGACAGATTTACCTCCAGGAATGAGTAAAGTGACTTTAAAAGCCCCTGTATTTGACAGGTATGAGGTGATACTCGGGTACTGCCCTGAGTGGCCTGAAATCATCTGGATGTGCTCTCTAATCACGATAGGAAGGGCATGGGGGTATTTGAACACACTATGAACTGAAACCCCCCCGTCCCCTCGCCGCCCTGCCACACACACAACCCAAAAGGCTTGGCTCCGTCAGCCTCTCTCCCTGGCCTGCAACCAGACATAGGCTCTTCCCAGAGAAGGAGAAATGAGGGCCTTACCTGTGCTGTCCTCCCCAAGGCCTTCGGCAGTTTCCCGAAGCTTAATATCCATCACCCTTGTGGAAATCATGTCCAGCTCACTAAAATCAGATGGAAATTCTTATTAAAAGGGACATGCTTAACGGAAGGTAACAATGAGTGAAACGACTTTGCTGACTGCTTTTTGCCCACAACTTCACCTGCACACACCCCAACAAAGAGAGACTCCAGGGCAGAGTACAGGGCAGCAAAGGCCAAACACGTGTCCACAGCTCAAGATTAGTAGCCTCATAGGCGTTTATCTAATCACCGACAAGGGCAATTTCATGGATATCAATTAACTGGAACGAATGCTACACTAATTTACACAATACAGATTTGTTTCCTTTCTTTCAAAAATTTTTTTTCAGAAAGTATGTTTTCCTCATGGGTGAAATAAAGGGGATTAAGAGAACACCTGTCATGATGAGCACTGAGCAACTTACAGAAATGCTGAATCATTACGTTGTATGCCAAAACTGCTATCACACTGATTGTTAGTTGTACCTTGAGAAAGAAAAGGAAATTATATTTTTCTCTTATTCACTGTAGAAAGTTTAGAAGGTAGACAGAATGAAAATTACCCCAAATCCCACCTTAACCAAGGGTAACCACAATTAAGGTTTTGACTTCCTTCCAATATATTTGTGTGTATGTGCATGCCCACATCTTATTAGGAAGACTGACTTCTAATTTTCTTGTATCACATCATCAAAATTCTTCATAAGCGTTACTGTAATGGCTAAATAATATTTTGATATGTAGCTGCAACATCATTAATATATAGTGGGTTCTTTAGAATTTTTATTATGAAAAATCTCAGAGATACAGAAATACAGAGAATGTATAATGAACTTAACATATTGTCACTCTTGTTTCATTTTTACACCTTCTTCCTCCCACTCCCACAAGGTTATTTCAAAGCAAATCATCCCAGATATTATTTCATTTCATCCATACAGTCTCATGGTTTCTTCCTAAATTAAAAAGCCCTGACTCTTTGTGGAAGTCAGTTCAAGCTGTGTCCCTGCCTTCCACAGTTGCCTTTAAAACAGTGTCTTCTACTCCATACATACTAACTCACCATTTATATGGAAAGCTGTTTATTACCGGCACTTACTATGAATCCTCAGACTTCATAAGCGGCTCAAACATCCAATTAGCCAACTAATATTTACCACTTGTACACAGCACATAATGGGAAATAATGGGAGAATTACAAAGAAAATATTTAACAGAGGAAAGGAGTTGTTGGTCTTTGCCCCAGTTGGGTCTAACATTTAGGTTTTTAATATTAATGTCAAAATGTCCATCTTCTAGTTAGCCAATTCCCGAAAAGGTGAAAAAAGTTTTACTGATTTTGTTTCTTCAATGTGCATATAATTTGGCTTCATAAAATGTCTGGTCAACAGAACAAAGGAGAAAAAACCCACATGATCATCTCAAATGATGTGGGGAAAAAATGGCTGACAAAATTCAATACACTTACATGGTAAAAACACTAAATAAGAATAGGAATAGAAGGAAACTCAACATAATAAAGGCCACATCTGACAAACCCAGAGCAAACATCATCCTCAACAGTGAAAAACTGAAAGCTTTTCCTCTAAGATCAGGAGCAAGACAAGGGGGACTGATTTCACCACTTCTATTCAATAGAGTATGAGAAGTCCTAGTCAGAGAAAATTAGACAAGAAAAAGAAGTAGAAGGCACCCAAACTGAAAAGGAAGAAGTCAAGGTATTTCTATTTGCAGATGACATGATCTTATATGTAGAAAACTATAAAAATCCCCCCAACACAAAAAACTGTTAGAACAAATCAATGAAGTCAGCAAAGTTGCAGGACACAAAATGAACACATGAAAATTAGTTGTTTCTATACACGGACAATGAACAATCTGAAAAGGAAAATAAGAAAAACGCTTCCATTTCTAACAGCATCAAAAAGAATAAAATACTGAGAAATAAATTTTACCAAGGAGGTGAAAGACGTGTATACTGAAAACTATAAAATGTTGCTGGAAAAAATTAAAGAAGATACCAAAAAATGGAAAGAGATCTCACGTTCATGGACTGAAAAAGGCTTATCATGATTTCCCCAAAGCAATGTACAGACGCAATCCCTGTCAAATTCCCTGAGCCCATAGTGTCCTGATATTCTATGAAACTGTGGTGGGGGCAGGGGGGTTGTGGTACCAGGGCATTTATATGGAAATAAAGAGGGAGCAAAGAAGGAAAAGCAGGAAAATGTAAGAAGCAAAGAGAATCAAAATTGTAAGGATTGGTTAAAAGTAACCAACTATTTCCCTGGGTATCATCCTTAAGGCTGCTACTGAACTAGAAAGTCCAAGGGCAAGAGCTTTCTACTGCTTGAGCCACAACAATTACAATGAACTCTTAAGCACGCAGTGTATCATCTGAACTACTTCATCTACTCCCCAGGAATCTTTAGTATTCACATTTTGGGACCGAGAATATATATTAAATAAGTATACTAACTGGCTCAACGTAGCAAAGCAGAGACACCAACCTGCATATTCATGTTGACCATATATCTAGCAAGTATGGGCTCTTTGGCCTGGGACACAGTGTGGATGAGACTGACATGCTCCCTGCATCTTGCAGGTGCTGATCCAGTGAAGGCAAGAGTCCTGAGCTATCATCAGAGGGGCTTCAGGGAAGCTAGGAAATCCAAAGGATATGCACCTCCTACTGAAACGACTCTGTCTGTCAAACAGCCCTGTGCAGAAACATGCCTGCACCCAGAGGACAGAGGCCCCAGGAAACCAGCCCCTGGGTTTGCCAGAGCATCTCAGTTTAGGGTGAAGGGGTTTGAGGCTGTCATTCTATATCTGTTATCACCCTTGAGGAGTCATGATCATGTAGGTCTACGTGGGAGAATGTGTGCACAAGCCCCAGGGGTTGGGGTATAGAAGGGCACTGCATCCCACCGAGGGTGGAACAGATCTGGATGCTCACACTGGCTTCCGCCTGGCTTGAAGTGAAGTCATGTGGTAAAGTCACACATGGCAGCAGGTTCAGGAGCTGGTGGGAGGCCCAAGAGAAAGGCCCAGTCTTCAACTTGCTGTAAGGCACATCCTGGTGGGGCCGGATGCAGGGAGCACCACCAGATGGCAAGGCTGTTAATGGACTCACACACAGAGGCAAAGATCACCCCACAGATGAAGAGATTACATGGGAATCAGGCTCAGCTTACATGGGAAGTTTTAGAACCTGCTTATATTTTCTGTTCCAAGCATGTTTATACCAAGAAGAGTGTAATATGGTGCAGAGGAAAAGGGGCAAAGACTGGGACATCAGGCAGTCCAGGGGTTGAAACCTCACCCCACCACACACCAGTGCTGAGCCTCAGTTTCTCCATATATAAAATGGGGATAAAAGAAAACTTTAATTAAATGGACTGCAAACACAGCACGCACAAGCACTTGCTGAGAACAGCTGTCAGTTTCTGCAGCTTGTTGCCCACCTCATACTAATGCATGTTTTTGCCTAAACGTCAACAAAAGCATGCACAACCAGCATGTCCTGGTAGCGGGGGAGTTTGAATCTATCTCATGAAGACAGTCTGCTTGTGCAAGAGGCTCACGTTAGGGGCGCCTGGGTGGCTCAGTGGGTTAAAGCCTCTGCCTTCAGCTCAGGTCATGATCCCAGAGTCCTGGGATCGAGCTCCACATAGGGCTCTCTGCTCAGCAGGGAGCCTGCTTCACTTCCTCTCTCTGCCTACCTGTGATCTCTGTCTGTCAAATAAATAAATAAAATCTTAAAAAAAAAAAAAGAGGCTCACGTTAGAGCCAGTGTTACCCAAGATCGACATCTGGACTCCCAGAAGACCCCTGTGCTTTCCAATGCCCTGCAACCTGAAGGACCTTCTTGAGCAAGGAGAACCACCACTGCCAGGTAACTGGTGAGAACACACTCCAGGCCACAGCGGAATGTCTACCCCTTGGGACTGTGGAGTGTGCACATGGAGGACCTTCCTCTTCACTCAGACACCCCAAGGGGTAATATTCCAGAGGTGTTATGACGGAATGTCTTCTCTACTGGGCCCAAAGGCTTGCCATTCTAGACACATGTTCTCCTACTCCTAGTAAAATTCAAGGACATGCCAGAAGAAAGAAAACCATAATGAGAAAGGTAATGTGGCAAACACCCTATAATTTCCAGCACCCCTTTTGCTTGAACTCCAAATTCACCTCAGGCCACCTCAATGTCCCCCTACCAGCTTTCTGCCCTTTAGCACCATCCCCAACCCCTGTTGTTCTGACAGCTCTAGTCCAGGGAAAGGAAAACTTATTCTTCAAACCTAGACCTGAGTGGATCTCTTCAGGGGTTCTCACTGATTTAAAAGGGGACTAAGCCTCCAGCCCCCTCTGTAGTTCACAGCACTCATCAGTGTGATGAGTAGTAGGGGCACCTACAGAATCCAGGGGAGTCCTGCGTCTAATGAAGCCTCCCTGGGTGGGGGGCTGCCCCACTCCCTCTCTCTGAACCCTAACTGTAATCACAGGCTCATGGCAAAATTTCATCATTAGTTGCAGCTTATATTAAAAAATTCTACAAAACTTCATTCATGTGAAGATTGAGAATAGTTTTAATAAGGTATTTTACAGGTTCTAATCCATTATATTTACCTACACAAGGCAAAGAAAAATATTTGTAAACTGACTGCATAACCTGAGCACATAATTACGTACGAAAGCCTTGGTGTTCATCCCTACAGACCTGCCAATCCCATCACACCCTCCAGGCCATGTTCAGATCCATGTGATATTCGTTCTCAGACCTTGTACCTTCTTTCACAATGCCCACCAATGCTGTTAGCAACTTGTTTATAAGATGTCTGCCTAACATTCCCCTCCCTTTCAAGATGGCGAGCTTGGCAGGATGAGCTCTGTGCCAGTTACATCCATTGCTCTCCTACCAGCACCTAGGACAGTGCCTGCAGCAAGGAATGGAACACAACGCAGGACCAAGATAGCTGACAAAATGAGAGACGTTTCTGCAGATGACTGACAGATGTACCAACAGAATGAAAAACAG